CCCCTAAGTTTTGCAGTGTTTCCATTTTATCATGAGATATTGTTTTTAATTACCTTTTTATTTCTTTTTTGATCCATTGGCTGTTCAATAGCATGTTTTTCAGGAATGAGTGCTGTAGCTTAGTGATAGAGCCCCTGTCTAGCATGTGTCATGTCCTGGTCTTGATCCCCAGCACTACAAAAAAAGGTAGTTTATTATTTAGTTTCTAATTTCTACATATGTGTGAATTTTTCCATATTTTCTCTGTTATTAATTCTGGTTTATTTTGTTTAGGTTGAAAACTACTAGATGTGAATTTTGATCTTTTTTAGTCAATTGAGATTGGCTTTGTGTTGAAAAATGTGATCTATTGTGGAGAATTTTCTGTGTTTGCTTAGAAAGAATAAGTATTCTACTACTCTGGCTAGTATGTATTTTATCTGACTGTTCGGTCTATTTTTTCCATAGTTTTGTTCAAATTTGTAACTTATCTATTGGCCATCTGTATACACATTCAAACTATTATCAAAGGTTGTGTTTGGTTTTTTGTTTTTTTTTTTTTTTTTGGTACCAGGAATTGAACTCATGACCTCATGCTTGCCAGGCAGGTGCTGTGCCACTGAGCTATATCTCAGGGCCTGAAGGTTGTGTATTGAAGTCATCTACTATTTTTGCACTGCTTTTTCTCCCTTCAGATCTGTCGATGTTTGTTTTATATATTTGAATGGTGTTATTTAAAAATGATCTTTCCCCTTATAATTTTATCATTGTATGATGACTTGAATTAAAGTCTATATTTTCCATTATAAATAGATGTCCCATTAAAATGTAAAAATTTGGGTTGCAAGAAGAATAGTACTTGAAGGTTGGAGCTATGATGCCACAAAACAAGGAACTACTAGAAATTGGTTGAGAAATCTGAAGCACATCATCCCCACTACCTTCAGAGAAAGTATCACCCAAAATACACCATGATATAAGCACGCTATTGGATTTCTAGACACCAGATTTTCAGAAAATAAGTTTCTGTTGTTTAAACCATTCATAGTGTATTACTTTATGTCATACCTAGGCAATGTACTCATTCGTGACCACCATCATCTGTGCATTCCATCAATGGTAAGAAGGAATATCATTATATGGTGCATTGCTGGATTCCTTTCTCCTCCTTCCCTGCCATTTCCCTTTGTCTTCATGTCTGTTTCTTTCAAATTTTACTCAAGCTTTCTTTACTAGAGGACTTAAACTTAGAGAGTTGGTACCAGCAGTCTTCTGCAGACAGAATGGTATATTGGAGTTGTGTTACTCACTGAATTTATGACAGTAAAGGCCTAAGGCATGGTAATGGGTAGTAAGTAGGTTCACACAGTGATATCATAATTACTAGGACTTCCTTCCTACCTGTGTCTAATTGGGATGTAATAGAAATACTGCAGAAGGTGAGATAGTGGTGGCCATGATAATTGAACTATATGGGAATAATTGTAAGGATTGTGGAGTGAGCTGGATTCTACTGATAGAATTGTGTACCTTGCAAAAGAAAATGATGACTCAGGGCAGTCAACTGTCACTGTAAGGCACACTGTGAGAGTCAGAGGGACTTCTACTGGAAATTCTTAATAAGACTATGATTTTCTGCAGCCCAAACCAACCTATGCTAATAAGCAGGCTTGGGTTCTGTTTGTAAGGGCAGAAGAGTTAAAAAGAAATTAAATGCATATATATGCAAGTTTTCCTAGGCACCCATCTGGTCTTTGAAAGAGAATGAGAGTGTTGTCCTCAGACCCAGGATATGGGACATTTGAGTGTGCAAGCATGAGAATATGGAATCCCTCAGTTTCTTCTTGCAATGTACTTGAAAAAAAAAAATGTAAGAACCAGTTCTCAGGAGAAGCATGTGGGAAAGGACATTTTAGCATTGGTCAGTTTCTGTGGTGCAAACACTTCTAACTCAGTCAGTTTCAAGCTACCAACATAATGTCACTAAACACAGAATTGAGAAGACATTTATGTAATTGGCTCCTACAAGCTGATATGAGCCAATTCTAATCCACCCATGCTCAGAACCCTCTGGCTGGCAGAAGTATCACCTCCGAATCCAGTTCTGCATGAGTTCTCTCTTGCCTGTCAACTATGTAATGCCTGCTTCTGAAAGACGGGCATTTTGAAAATGACTTCTCACCATTTGCTAGAAAAAGAGAAATGCACTGAGGAAAGAGAATACCCAGAGTATAAAGAAATGTTTAGATACAGGGTCTTAAGTGGCAAAGAGACATCTAGAAGAAGGATCAGTGGAGCTTTGGCTCTACTCTTACAATAGCTCTAATGGCCCATGAATATCTATAGTTAAATCAGTGAATGTAGAGAGGAATAGATCATCTTGTCTGACAAAATCCCTATATTATTTTTTTGACCTGTAGAGTAATATGCATTATGTAACTGGGCCAAGTAGAGGCCTCTGCAATTGCCACTATTATCCCCAACCAAGTTAGTAAATCAGAAGCAAGATCTTAGGAAGAATTGCGAAGACTTACAGTGCTATCAAAGATTTCAAAGATAAATGGGTTTTAGTTCACGTTTGATTCTCTTGTCTGACACCCACATGACACATGACAGCACATAACTCTATACTTAAAAGAAACTGCCCTGCAATGTAGAGTATCTCCCTACATATATGCAGTAGGTGGTATCTTTCTTAAGCAGATCAATATGAATGCTTTAGCGTTTTGTAAGAAGTTGGTAATTTGATAAATTCAATTTTTCTTTGCCATCAGTAGGAAGGATCCAAAGCAGTTTGCCTTGATAGATGAATGATAGAAGTACATGACTACTTTCTGCAGAGCTGTCTTGACTCTTCTGCCTTCTCTTCTAATGAGCACAAAAGGATAAGTACTACACATCAATGCTATTCAAATATGTGTGGTATCAGTGTTTCTTTTTATCCCCCAAATTGTCTTAGAGCAGTTATTCTGGAAACTGCTAACCTTGACCAATATATACCTTGTTGCACATGCAAGTCACCTCTTGGGTTTGACAATAACCAAAATGATCTATACCCTGTCCAGTGATTCTTCTGATCATGTGCTTGGAACTCACAGCAATATCAAATTGCTATAGAATCTCTAAAAGTAAAATGTTCAATTTCTGAATTTATTTTTTGATGGATGAGTAGTAGTCAAATATTCACCAACCAACACCTATCTCTAGTTATAGTAATATAATCTAAATGACCTGGTGAAATACATGCATATCAAAGAATGAAAGACAAGCACTGTGATAATCAAGGACTTGTGGTACCAATGAAATTTTTAGTAGTCAATGTTCTGTGTATGTTGGAAGCATCACTTTTAACGTAAAGGACAAATTCTTGAACCCCTCCTGTCATGCCTCTGAAATGATACAGATCACTTAGTAGGACTCTGGATTTTGAGGGCAGCACACACTATCTTTGGGAATACAATTGCAGCTCATTTATCAGATGACTTTGAAAGTTTTCAGTTGCAAATGGGTACCAAAGTCAGAGATTTCCTGTGATCACATCCAGGCTTCAGTACAAGCTTCCCTGCCACATGAACTATATAACCCCACAAATCGAATGGCTCCAGTAGTACATGCAGTGTGAGTATTGCCTGGCAAATCCCAGTAGTAAGTATACCCCTGCCGAGGTTTTTGAGTAATTTACTTCTGCAACAGAGAGTCACTTTATATTTGAACTATACTCAGTCTGTAGAAGCTGAGAACAACTTCCAGCCAATATCCAGCAAGAAATCGATGCCCTGGATTGTACAACCACAGGATGTGAATTTTATCAAAAACCACATGAGTTTGGAAGTGGCTGCTTCCCCAGCTGAGCTGCCATGTAAGAACTCATTATTGGCTGAAACCTTGAAACAAAGGATCTACTAAGCTATGTTCAGACCCATAAAACTATGATAAGAAATATGTGTTGTTTTAGCTGTTTGTGGTAATGTTTTACACAGCTAGAGATACCTAATAAAATGGTATGATCACTCTGAAAAATGGTTTGACATTTTTTATAACATTAAATGTATATCAACTATATGACTCAGCAATTCTATATATAAGACAGTACAAAATAAGTCCTCAAGGAAAGCCTGTAAAGAACATAACAACCTAACTTATTAATCATTACCAATCAGAAAAAAATCCAGCAATATAAGAATGGATAAGAATTTGTAGTTTGTTAATATAAAATAAAGAATACTACCCAGCAGTAAAAATACAACTTTGATATTTGCAAACATGAATGAATCTCAAAAACCTTAGCTAAGCAAAGAAAACCAGATACAAGAGAGTACTAAATGTATGAATTCACTAATACAAAGTTTTATTACAGGCAAAGATAGTTTCTGGGGAAAAAAATTGGACCAGTGTCTTCTCTGGGAATTGACGCAGGCATTGAGGGGCATGAGGTGACTTTCTACAATGATGAACATGTCTGTCTTGAGGTGTTCGTCACATGAGTGCATGCATTTGTCAAAAGTTTTGAACAATACATTTATGAGCTATATTAATTACTATAGGTAAATTATACTTGAAATTTTAAAAATAAGAAACAAAAAACAAAGTAGAAGGGAACTACCTGTTTGCTAAAGAATCATAAAATTTCTCAAGCCAAATTATCCCCATGTCTTGGTTACTTTTTTCTCATTATTGAGACAAAATACCCAGCACCCAAAATTGAGGGAGGAAAACTTTATTTAGCTCACAGTTTGTGGAGGCTTCAGTCCATACTGGCTCCAAGGCAGGGTACATGGCACAGGGCAACAGCTCATGCCAGCAGAAGATAGCAAAAGCAACAAGAGTAGAATGGAAGGAGCAGAAGCAGCCTCTTTCCCTCCTTTATATTGTATGCAGGCTACTCACCCTGGAGTGAGTGTACCACTCACACCCATGAATCAATCATAAACTCTAGAAACCTGCCCCATGACTCCATGAGGCTTTTGGGGGCCGTCCAGACACAAACTATAACACCCCAGATAGCAAAAAGCATAGATTACCTGATGCCACCTGGGATCTGGAAAACCATAAATGTCCCAAGAGAAAAGAACCTTCTGATTGTTTCTGCCCTCTCAGTTGGCCTTGTTGCCTTAAACTTCATTGATTCAATCCACTGAAAGAACATCATTCCATCAATGAATGTTACAAACTCTATATTATATATAACCAATAAATAGTCATAAAATGAACTATACACAAAGCAAAGGGTCAAAGATAATTTTACCAATCTTGCAACAACACTACCACAAACAGTATTTGATTTTCAGTAGAGGTAATATTTCAAAGTGATATTTATCAAATGACCTGCAAGTTTAAAACTTCAAGGACGTTAAAAATGAAAATCTGAGAAACTATCAGAGTTTAAGGAGCCTGAGGAGAAAGACAACAAAATGTAATTTAGTGTCCTGGATGAGATCTTACAACAGAAAAAGGGTACCAGATAAAAACTAAGAATATCTGAATAAAGCATAGATGTTAGTTAACAACAGTGTATTAATGTTGGTTCATTGCCACACTCATGTAAGGTGCTAATCCTAGGAGAAACTTGGGGCGAGGGCAGGAATTAGGGAGATATATGGTCATTGCACTATGGTCTCAATTTTTCAGCAAATTTAAACATGCTCTAAAAATAAAATCTATTTCTAAAAAATACCCTATGAAAGCAAGCTATTCGTATGATTTAATAGTAGGAACTGAAAAATAAGCACCATAAAAGACAGCACATATGAGGACTGAGAAAGGACAAGATTAAAATGTGAGGCCAGAAGGAATAGACCAGCATCCCAGGGACAGAATAGGTACTTATCTCTCCAAATAGTTGCCTCAAATATAGGCAGTATCAACCAGACCTTCTTCTGCCAGCTCTGGTTATTTCTATTTTAGCTCCTACCTATCTGGATGGGGACATGTGAAAATTTCATCAAAGATATTACAGGCATAAAAATGTTCATAGAGGGGGCTGGGGATTTAGCTCAGCGGCAAAAGCGCCTGCCTGGCAAGCGCAAGGTCGTGAGTTCGGTTCCTGGTACCGGAGAAAAACAAACAAAAAAAAAAATGTTCATAGGAAATCTAGTTGGTTTTCATGATTTGGTAGGAAAAATAGAGAAGGCATGTATGCTGAACCTGGAAAATATGTTTTAGTTCTTTTTAAGTTGGAGAATTACAAGGCTCTTACTGGAACACTGGGGATATTTGGACATGGACTGGATATTACCTATTGTATTATACCACATTTATGTCCTAAATGGAGTAAGTATAATGTGGTCCTATAGAAAAATGGCCTTGGTCTTTTTTTAAGAGAATAAAAAAATTTAACAAAATAACAGCAAAAACAAAAACAAAACAACACAAAAACAAAAATGAAACAGGATTTGAAAACAAAATGATAGGAATTAACAATGGTTATTATATTACATATTGTTATCTTCAATGAAGTTGCTCAGATTACCAGATGTAAGAATGCAAGATTGATCAACAGTTAAAGAGAATAAAAAGTAATTTAAAAACATTAGAAATGATACACAGCTTCACTAAACAAGATGGTAGGAATTCAACAATGGTTGTTATATTGCATATTGTTGTCTACGAATTATTTGTTCAAGAATGGCCTTGTTCTTAAGAGACACATGCTGAAATATTAGCAGTTAAGTGTCATGATGTCTACAACCAACTCTCAAATGGTTTGAAAATATATACATAGTGTGTATTTCTCTCTAGTTTTATCTTCCTATTCATACACAAAATGTATATATACACATAGTCATACAAATATATTCTGTCTTCTTCTCTCCCTTCTCCCCCTCCTACCTCCCCCCTTCCTTCTTTCCTTCCTCTACTACATATAAAGGTATACAAGCATTTATTATACTATTCTTCTTTAAAGGCATGAAATTTTTCAAATAAAAGATCTGTGGCAATCCTCTTTAATATATGTATTCTTCAGAATCCACACTTGGGCCCCCACTACTAGGAGTTTCTGTCTTTTATACTCCTTCCTTAATCCTGCCATGTTTTAATGGCTCTGGAGTCTTCCAGAAAATTTTTCTTTCTCTGCCACTTTACATAAATTTCCTCACAATCATACAAATATTTGCCTCTGCTTGGCTTCTACCCCTAAACTAACAATCCTAAACCCATCAAATTTTTCAGTTGTTAAGTAAAATGGTGTCGACCCAGAAAAAAACCACAACCAACCTGAATTTAGGGTTCCAAGAAAGACTTCTGGGAGTAAAGCCATAGGAGAGTCTGCTGGGAGTTTATTTTTATGGGAAGTTAGGGGGTTGGGGCTAGGTGGGTGAGTTGGGGTTAGGTGGGGTGACATGAAGGGGAGCATGAGACTGGGGAAGCAAGAATAGTTGTGTAGCAGCAGCAGGATGACCCATAGCAATGGCTGAGGTTTTGTTGTGAAAGAGCTGTATCCAGGTACAGTGGGTCCCAGCAGAGCAGGCAGGGTGGCAACAGGACATGGGAGTTGTGTTGTGATTGTTTCTGAAGCTCAGGTAGTTGGGAGCAGCCACTCCAGGAGCTCAGGTGACTGGAGCAAATGGGGGTTGGACCTGTCATCAGTGAAATCTAGAGGGCTTTAGATAATAAAGTCTACCACCCTCCTAAGAACACAGTTTAGTGACTACCACATGCAACTTGAACATGTGTTTTGAAGTATAATTGCTACTGTCCCAGGTAACAACACAGATTATTCCAGTCAAGCATGACTTTACAAGAATTCTGAGGAATGGAATTCTCTTTATCTCACTTCACAATTAGAGAACTTTCAATACTGCACTAAGTTTAAGGCTGTTGTTATTTCTAACCTTAATGTAGGTCATCTGAAGCTTGATTCAAAGCCTACTTCCTAATTCTCAGTTTTCAAATAATACTGATGGAGATTTTCTCACAGGCATGCTGATCTTCCAGGGATGTCACAAACAAGAGGTACTGGTTGAACCAGGAGCCAAGCTCTTTCACAGTAACGGCAATAACTAAGAAGGGTATCTAATAATCAAAAGATTAGCTATTGATCTATAAGTCCCCAATTATTATTAATTTTTTTTTACTGAAGGCATTTGGAAGTGATTGTCTATTCAGAAACTATAAAGGCAGGGCAATGTACCTTCTATCAATTCTAAAGAGATTACAAAGATCAATGAGCAAGAGAATGGTGGAAATGTAGGGAGTGCAATGACATAGGTACTAGATGTCAAGGCAAGATGATTGGGTTTGCCTCTAATGCCCAGATAATTCCTTTTTTCCTCTTCTGGAGCACTCTTACCAGCATGCCTAATCTTATGTTGAACTGTCTGTTGTTAGACCCCAGATGTCCTTCACACCTATATTATTTCTTTCTCCATTGTCTTCTCAACCACAAGATAATACCTCATGCAGTACAGCTTTTTAACCACTTACAATGCTTTTTCAGTATATGGTTTAATTCTTTCAATAATTCAATGAGGTCTTTTTTGTACATTCTTTTCATAATTCAAGGGACTGAGATTCAAAGTTGAGAGGTTACTCAAGGTCATACATCTACTAATTGGCAAAGCCAAAAAATTCAATCTGCGTTGTGATTTTATGTTGCAGCACTGAGCTACATCCACAGCCCTTTGTTTATGTTTTATTTTATTGAAGTGTCTTGCTAAATCACTAAACTCCCTAGTCTGAGCTTGAACTTGTAATCTTCTTGCCTCAGCTTCCCAAAGTACTAAGATCATGGGTATGCATCATCATATCCAGCTAGAGTTGTGATTTTAAACTTATCATTTTCTTTTGCATGCTTTGGATAAAGTTCTAGATTCAGTAATTTAGGTTAAAGTATTTACAATGAGTACGGTAGAAAATAGGAACTCCCATGAATCCTGTATGAAAATCACAATAAGAAACAAAAGCAATCTTGGATATTCATTGGCCATTTTCCTTCTTCCTTTTTTCCTTATGTCAGACTTGCTTTTCAATAACAATAGAACTAGGTTAGGGGATGCTATTAATAAAAAGAAATGCTTTGTCCACATGTGTGACATATATGTGCATGGGGACGTTGGCCTTCTAAAAGAGAAGTTTGTGTAATGGCTTCAAATCCAGTTGTGTAAGAAACAGTAACTTTGTTTTTCTCTATTTTTTTCTGTTTAGAGCTTTAACACTTGCATGTGGTGACAACTGAAGTTTAGTCAATAAATAACCAGAGGGGTGGATCTGATTCAAGGAGTGTCAAAGCCCTGGGAGACCCGGCTGCTACTCCTTGAGGATCTGTTACCGCCTCAGCTGTCTATCATCCCATTCGTTACTTTCACAGGGCTTGCCCGTGATTGCGTCATCTCCCCACAGTCCTACTTTAAAGAGGCCTCTGGAGCTTCGAAGCTGTCCTCTCCGCTTCCTTACAGCCTCTAGAGTACACAAGACTTCATTCTGCTGGTAGGCTGAGTCCGAGAAACTGGGGCGCTACCTAAGGTTCAGGCCACTTGCTTCCAGCTCACACTGTACACATGGGACTCTGAATCGTCCCAGATTCACAGCCACCACACAGCGCTTCTTTTCTGAGCTTTGGGGTCACCTCGAGCTCAGCCTGAGAATACCCTCGATGCCTATCCTCTCGGTTCCACAGACATACTTGGTGCTTTTGTCCTGTCTCCGGGGCAGCTCTGCACTCCTCTCGGGGACATTACTTTGCCGTCTTCACTTTCCTTTCCCCACAGGGAAATCCTTAGTTTCAGGGAATCCTTAGTTTCAACTCAGGAAGCTTTTCCCTGATTCATACTAAATTAGTGCTACATGTTTGTATTCTGAGTCCTCCTCGTGGGGTTCTTAGGAAAATTTAATAACAAAAACGTGTTCCATATGTATGGCTAAAGTTGACCATCACAGAATTTTTAAACTATAGGTTTTTTTTTTTCTTTCTTTCTTTTCTTTTTGCAGAACTGGGAATTGAAACCGGGCCCTTCCCACTGAGCTACACCACTATCACTTTTTATTTTTCTACTTTGATATAGAATCGTATTAAATTGCTGAGTAGCCCAGGCTGGGCTCGAATTTAAGAGCCTCCTGCCTCAGCCTCCCAGTGTTGGGATCACAGGCCTGCGCCACTACACCAGACCGCCATAAGAACTTTTCAATCAAGAGCAG